TTCAAGTCTAGTCGCAACATATGCAAGAAATCTAGAACAAATTGTTGACCATTTAACTCAACCTCAATTGCTGCCTTCTTTTCTTCAAAATCTTTCTTTATCATGCCAAGAAGAATTTGAGGAAAATCACTCCATTGACCATCCTCGAAAAACAATATACGTTGTGCCATTTTTGTTTTCATAAAATTTGAATAATATTGGATCAAAGATTTTCTAATAGAGTTCCCACCAGTATTGAGCTTGCTTTTGTATTTAGCTAATTTTCTTCGCTTACCAAGCTTATGCGTCGAAAAATACAAAGTAGACCACTGTGGTAACAATGTGTTGGAAGCTCCAGCAAAATGTGACGCATGCCGTGCTGCTCTCTTCCTCTTCATGCCAATCACAATTCTGCCATTTCTATCCAATACCTTTGCGGTCCTTGCTTCCATTTTTATCAGCTAGATCAATCCTTATCAACAACTTTACAAAAGTTCAAATTGAAGATTTACCTAACTCCGGCCTTCTGTCAGTCAATAGAACTGTCCCATAGAGGTTGATAAGCAAACCCTGAAAAAGGAAAATTAGTCACAAATTTGAGATCAGGATATTATCAATTTTTTTTTTTTAAATAAAAACAGTATGTATATATTGCTATGAGCACCTAGGGGGTGCAACCCATTTACAATAATTACAGCTCAGTCATCACAAGACAGAAAACAGGATATTGTCAATTATTTAAAATTGCAATGTTAAACATAATGACCTGCGATAGACAATATAATGCAAATAATACAATAAATAACAGTGACTGAATAGAAAGGGAAATCACAGTTGGCCACAACATATAAAAATGAAGAAGGATAGATAGATTTGGTCCCGAAATATAAAATTGGACATTAAAGAACTAATTATAGAAGCACAAACAATTTAAAATACATTTTAAGTGATAATTTTTTTTAGCTAGAAAAAAGGCTGAATGATGTGTATCGATATATAACATATATATAAATATGTATATATAGTTTGAAAAGAGCATGCATGTAACCATTACAAAGCAGAATTGCAGATGCAACCGTTACTTTCTTTTTCTGTAAGACAATTGTGAAAAATAAATGACCCATATTCAGTATACTTTTAATAGAAGAAAAAATAGTATTAGCGAGAGAAAGAGAGGATAAGCTATCCTCCAAAAGAAAGGAAGAAAGAAGTACATAGGAGAACAAAGGAAAAGAAGATGAGTCAATGGCATACCACAAGCTCTATGCAAATTGAAGTTTGCTTTTAATAATTACTGAAAAAAGAATTTATTAAATCATTTTTCTTATCCCCGAATTTCTATACCACATGACTTACAATTTCCAAAAACTAAGACTAAATCCATTAAATAGCAAGATTTACGATTCCCAAATTTCATATGCTTGAAATCAAATATGAGGATCATCATTTTAAACAATTCTAATCAATATTATATGATGAAAGATTGAAGAACGGTCGAGAGGATTAAAGTACAAGTACCACAGAGTAGAGGTTGGCAGCAAGAGAGCAGTCACAAAATAGTAACATTTATAGTTAGTGAACACATGTGAAGGACAAATTTCATTTGAAATTGACAGTGAACTCCAGAATAATCAGAATTACAAAGTAACCTCAATAACAGTCATAAGCAAAATCATGGACACTAAGACACATGCACATGTAGTAACATATTAACAAATCTATATTAAATGAACAAAATGTTACTACGGAAGATAAACAAATAATTAGAAACTCTTCACATGAAAAAGAAAAAAAATAGAAATAAATTTCAAACAATAACATATCTTCTTAGGTTTCAGCTACATTAATATGATACAAATGCAAAAGGAGGAGTTGTTTCACATCTACGAGAAATAAAGCGTAAATAAACTTCAAATGGTTCCATGGCTTCTTAAGGTTCAACTATATGGCCATGAAAGAGATCAAAACTCTTTGTATCAAAGAGATACAGAAGGGTAACAAATTTCACCAGTGATGTTACTTGAAAGGAAATAAAATAGAGAATTTTTTTATGGTGGCAGCAAATTTAGGCTGCAAAGACAAGTAAACTATGTAATGATTGTGTTTTAATACCATATATTCTATTACCACTTAAAGACCAAGACTTCTCAAACACCTACAAAAGCTATAAACATTGAATTGATGCATGAATGAGTGAACATAACAGATCAAACATAAAAAGGAATTATACTGATAGTAGAAACATAAGAGATCAAACTGCATTAAGACTAAGACAAACTAATAGTAGATACTGGGCAGAAATGAGATAGAAATTGACCAAATGAACCATAAAAAGAATCTGCATCAGAATGAATGCATAAAACGTTAACAATGGAATCACTACACATATTCTACTTATATTAGAGGAAATGTATGCAATGTTTTAGGATGTATGCACTCTTCTAAACATACACGTTCTTCCATATGAAAAAAAAAAAAAGAAATGTATGCTAGCCTTTAATATGCAGCTTTCACTTTCATAGAAAAAAGAAGATACAACTGGGGGAGAGATAACACGAAGAGAGAGGACAAAATAACCAAAAAAAGCATAGTTTGCATAATTGACAGTGGCAAACCCCTAAAAGATCCCTGCACTTTAGCCCAAAAGGTTGCAATATGCAAATCATTCAATGCCGATTAACAAAAGCAAGACAGATGCAGCAATTTAATATCCTGGTATTATGTTTCAATCACAAAACCCAAATCCCAGAGAAGTGCCCCCTGCATAACACCCTATGCTCCATTTTCTTCACATAACCCCTCGAATAGGAGGATAAAAACACCTCAAGGGTAAGGGGGCAAAACCAACAATCCCTGAGAAAAGCCACATCAAATGTTCAGCTATTTATTATCTGCCACCGAACAGTTATTTTTATATTAAATTGGAAGCCACCTCTGCCAACCACAATTCCTATGTTGATCAGGACTAAAAGGCAAGTGTCCAGATTGGACATGGATATAAATGTTTGATGTTACAATTTTTAAGCCAAAAAATATAGAGACTCGGTCAATAAGAGTCCCAAAAAGAAAGGTTCCAGTACTTGAATTTGCTTGATATAAAAAAATGACGAAAATTAACGTAAGCATGTAGGAAGCTAAGATGATATCAAATACATAGTATTCTATAGCCTTCAATACAAAAAGATATACAATTCAATTTTTGCAGTGATATCATACACATAGTAGTATACAGTCTTTAACACAAAAGAATATATCCATTTCATATTCGCAGTGAAAATTAGAAAACAGAAAAGTTCAATACTAGTTAATAATGCTTAACTAATCGAGGATAACCCACAAGAGAAAATCAATGGTTTAAACCTTCCACAACCAGCAGTCCTATTTCTATGTTATTTTGCAACTTTAAGCATTTTTTGAGGATATTTTTCAACTTTAAACGTATAGAGTCTTAATCATCTATAATAAACTCTAGTTCTGGATCATCAAGTTCCCCATGTACATATCAAGCGCCAGATAAAGATCTCGCACCCTTATTATAAACCCGAGGTGCATGATCCCGTCATGAATCTCATTAATGGAAAATCTTGAAGCAAGTGTGCTGCTTGCTTGCCAGATTTATGGCTACGACAAGGGCTTGTTAGAGAGAAAACATGATCTCCAACGTTAAAGACTAAACCTTTCTTTTAAAATCATTATTGCCTAATTTTATTGCTACACTTTGCATACATATAACTATGCAAGCCAAGTAATTTCCTTTTCCTAGGTCTCAATCAATCCTATGAAATCCTAAACTAATCTCTTGTTACCCTTAAAAAAAAATTCCTATTTCAAACTCCTAATCAACTTCAAATTCCTATTTCAAACTCATAGTCAACTTCCTAAATAAAATCTTAACTCCACTACATTTTTCCTAATTAAGCTAAACCAGAAAACTAAACCAAACATTTCTTTTCGATGGACAAACCAAACATATTTAGATAAACCATCTATAATGTAAAAGAAGAGTTAGATTTCTTTTTCTTTTCCCCCTAATGTGGGAGCGCCCCTACAACTAGCCAATTCTTTTTGGCCACTTCCTTCTTCACTTTCTTCCTTTTTACTGTTTTGGTAAATGATGCTTGTCCGGGAGAACCAAAAGACGGCAGTCACCAATCAACCTATATTTTGAGGCTCCTATGGCTCCATATAGTTTCCTCCACTAATCCCAACCAAGAAATTTTTTTGCACTGAAGTGGCAATATAGGTTCATCACAATTATAACATAACCCTTCTAAACCTCTCTCTTCCAAGTCCACCCTATTATATTTTTCAATTAGTAACGGCCTTGAAGAAGTACCTGAGACATTCTTTTGGCAAGTGAAAGCTACTCGTCATTCATGTAGACATGCAAGGCCCATTGCGGTGGTGAGATCTTAGGACCTCTATAATTGTACTTCAATATGATGCATTGTAAACCACTCAAAAAATTTCTCCTTTTGGTGCGGTAGTGATAGGTGGATGCTCAAGTCAACAATCGCTCAAAACACCTATCATAGTCCTCTAAAGTTGCCGCTCTTTGCAAACAAGCTCTTCAAACTGGCAGTCAAAAACTGAAGCTTGCAATAGGATTTCAAGTCTACAACAAATTTGGGCTTGTCATGTTCTAGTTTTGGGAACCCCAATTGAGCATCCTCTTCTAGGTGGAAGGAAGCAAGTCCTACCTTATCCTCCTCCAAGGTCCTTGATGGCGAAGAGATAAAAAAAACTTGCACCAGCTCTAGCAACCTA